TGAGATCTCTGCTATATGCTTTTGGCATTGAATTGCTGTTATCGTTTCCTCTTCCAATGTGGAAGACTTTTATGTCTAAGCTTTGTCTAAGTATCTATCAAACACTCACAGGTCATGTACAGTGCAGGCTAAATACAGATTAAAGTTCCCTTTACGCTGTCTTAGGGCAGTGCATTCCACATTTTCATGATCCTGTGTATGGTTTGCATATCAAGCTGCTTTGGTGAGATATTGGAGTGAGCCGTGGAACTTTTCCTTTAGAAGGAGATAAAATATAGATGTGGGAGGACACTACATTTAAATTTCCTCCCTTAAAAATGTTGCATTGAGGCATCTTAGGTGCTCTTGAGAGAAACAGAAGGACCAATGGGAACGAGAAGTGAGTGGAACCACTTAGAATCAGAGTGTCTATTTTTAATATGACGTTCACTGTAATTGAAATAAAAGCAGCTGGTTTAGTTGACAAAGAAGCTCTTTATTTTCTTCCCCCGACCCCCCCCCCCTCCACCCCATCACAACCACCACCCAGAAGAGCGAGCCTCCGTTCAAGCACATTCAATCATTGGATGGCTCATTCTTTTCAAAATGGCTATGTGTGAGATCTCTGCTGTGCTTTTGGCATTGAATTGCTGTTATCGCTTCCTCTTCCAACTTGGAAGACTTTTATCTGATGCAGCTTATTGACAACTGCTGGTAATTGTCAACGTTCTAATTTTATGTTTTTTTTTACTCCTTCCAGTCTCCAGTTCCCCTCCCAGGTTAGTCATTCCATAGCTGTTGCTCTTGCAAGGGGGTGGGGACCGTGATTTGTACCTTTTTAAAGTGAGTCCCAGATTTTGGCACCATGGGGGAGTGTGAGGGGAGACCTGTGCAAGGCAGGAGTGGGAGAGCCTTCGAGCAAGGGTCAGACTCCATGGCTGTTTGTAGGACCTTACTGTACACAAAATGGAGGCTTTCTTTGCCAACAGAAGTTGTTACTCTTGACGGTAAATGCAAAAACTGTAGCGTCCCAGAGTGCTTGCTTGGGATACAGTGAGATGTTTTGGCATGATAAAGCACTTATAAAAATAATTTATTTTTCTTGTTTAGGATTTAGATACAGGAATATCCCTGCACATGGTGTCGTTCTCCTTCAGCTGCACGTCACTGTGATTGGGCAGCCTCTGCTGCTCCAGCTGCATGTTTGTGCCCATTTATATGACCATGAGGTCAGAGTCAGGCAGGATCCAGAGGAGGGGGTCGGATTGCTGAAGGGGGAATTGATGATTGAGTCTGTGAGAGTTTTTTTTTCCTCCTTAGAAGCGTTTCTCCATCTCTTCTGCACACACTGGCACATGCTATGGTACCATTATCACCCGTAGCCTCTACTACCTCATCCGTTTGGTTAGTCTGTGCAGAACCCAAGCTCCTGTCTGCCCATTCTTTAGATGGACTTTACATTAAACATTCCATGCCACTTCTTAATGGAAATGGAATTTCTTCCATCGTTCTGGACAATCTTACCAGATAAATTGGTCATTCACTTCATTCATGGCTGTTTATGGGACTTTTCTGTATGTGGAATGGCTGCTGTGTTTGTCTGCAAAACTAATCCCCACATTGAGAGCAATTACTGTAAAGCACTTAAGATTTTTCAATGTGATTAAGGAATTTAAAAACACAAACTCTTTCGCTAACTGAGCAGTCAAGAGGACAATGCGTGTGGGAGAGATATTGAACTTGGGTGGTGGTGATGGGTGTGGGGGGCAGAGAGATCAAAGCTGAGCAGTTTCCACACTGGAGCTTCGCTGGCCTGGCTGAGATCTCCTGACTTGGCACAAACTGGATTGAATCAGACTTCCTGAACTGCATGGTCTATACCGGGCATTAACTTCACCCACTGGGTCACCAGGAGAAGTTTGTTCTATGTATTGGAAAGATATATACTGGGACGTGGTTAAGGGGTTAACATTTCCAGCAATTAAAAATCTTTAGGCCCAAATTGAACTCTTTGCAACTCATGTGAACAGCAGAAGGAGCTGGTTCTGCTCAAGCTCTGTCAAAGAAGGACTGAAATCAAAGGACTCTGGGCCTTTTAAAATGCTGACCAGCATCTCCAGGCCAGCAAGTGGAATCAGCCAACTCCAGCGCAAACCAGAAAATCCCTTGAATCCCTTTGTCTGCTGCATTGTAACGCCGGGAGACATTCCCACACTTAGCCTCTCAATGACTTTGAGTTTCAAAGCTGCTTTCTGCTCTGCTTGTTGGTAGTTAACTGGAGTGCGCTGATAAATGGTTTCTTAGCAGCAGGGAGAGGACAGCCTGGAACAATGCAGCAGTTGGTGTTGTAAAAAATGGATATGGGACTGCTTTGTTTCGGGCGTGGAGGGGCTTGCTGTATAATTTATTGGAAATGTTGGTTGCACTATGTCATCCTGAGTGTTGGAAATCCGTCACAGTGTCCCTGTTAATGAGTGTCGATTTATGGCTTCCTCGCAAGCTCTATCTTCCTGTAAAGTTGGTGATTTTTTTAAAATTCCACCCCCCCCAAAATTAATCATTACTTTGTCCTTAATTTCTCCGTTCATTCATGCGCACTTTTAAAAAATATATTTTCAAAGTACAAGTTAAAAGTAAGTGAAATGGATATGTGGTGTAATTGCAGATGAGGGGAGCAGTGCATTTACCTGCAAATACACAGTCACTACACTTGATAACGATACCCTGTGAAGGGCTTTGAGATGTTTTGATCTTATAGATTCTTCAGGAATACGTTTTCTACTTTCCCCCCCATCCACCCCCAGTTGTTCTCCATGCGCAAACCCAGCCTGGGCTGTGCTGCATGTGTGTCTGTGATACTGTGTCCTGTGGTGGGAGATTTTAACTAGTTGTGGAACGGTAATGAGCTGCAGCCTGTGAGCTCTGATTCCTCCTGCATCAATGCTTCATTATTTTGAACCAAAGGGAATAATTCTCTATTACCATTGCCTGGAGGGAGACCTTGCAGACCTGGCAAAAACAATCGTGGCTTCTGAAAAAAATGACTTCTCTTCTCAAATAAATAGGTTCGATAGCAAATTGACATTTGTGCTTTTAATGTTTTTTAAATTCTTGATCTTGTTGCGCTCTTGCTTGCTCGCTCACTCACCAAGCATGGCTATGCTGTCTCCATGTTCTCTCGATCCTCCCTCCCTGAAGGTTTAGTCCACATCAAACCTTAGCTTCAAGCCTCACATTGGACTCTGTAAAAAGGTGCTGTAAAATGCAGGTCCTTTTCCTCCTTGGATTTTAAAAAAAATGTACCTTTTCCTATTGTCCCTGAAATTCCTCGAGACTTTAATCTTCTAAGTCTTTTTGCCACTCTCCTGAGCAGCACCGCCCAGTGGCATAAATTGAGTATTGCAATAGTGTCGTCTTATAGTGACATCCAGTGGCATAGAGCGGGTATTATTTTAATGTATGACAATAATAATAATAATCCTTGCATTTGATATAGCGCCTTATCACATCTTCAGACATCTCAAAGCTCTTCACAGAATATACAGTAAAGTGAATTAACTGTATATTTTGTGGGTGAAACACAGCAGCCAATTGTGCACATGTATTGTCACTGCATGTCAGGTGTTTTTACAGGTTTAATTTTGTGCTGAGCTTATCAATGGCAAGTCCATCTTTGAGTTGAACAGCAAATGGTTTTATAGTAGAAATGAGAGGAAGTGAGATTACAAGGAAAGAAGCTTGGCATTCGCCTACAAAATGCACAGTCACTACACTTTACACTATATCTTATGAAGAGCTTTGAGATGTTTTCCCAATGCGTAAGACACACATCAAGTTGCAAAGATTATTATTACTGAAAGGTTGGGATCAACAGCCCAAGTAAATGGTCAAACTAGTTGATACACTGCAACTTGTTATACTGCGCTGATTTATTTATATCGTTAATACACCTCATTGATTGCTGCTGGTAGATTTCAGTTCCTGAGCTAAAATGGCCAACTTCCATATCATTAGGTCATTGTCACTTGCTACACATGCAAACTGCAGGAAGGGAGCAGCAAGTCGGCCCATTTTTGGAAGGTGGAAACCAAGTCCAGGCCTTTCAGATGAATGTTAAAGAGCACAACGTACTATTTAAAAGGAAAAAGGGAGTTTCTCCTGGGGCCAACAATTTTCCACCCCATCAATAAAATTGGTAATTTGCTTCATGGATGGTTGTGGGACATTGCTGTGTGCAAATTAGCTATTGTGGTTCACCCACAAAACACACAGTCACTGCACTTTACAGTATAGCCTGTAAAGCGCAGGCAAAGCTCTTTCCAAGCTCCTGTACAAAGAATGTCCACTTGAGAGAGGTGCCAGAGACCTTCAGGTCATCAGACCTTTGTAGAGGTGAGAAACAACTCTCTGAGAAGAAGGCAGGCACAATAAAAGAGATTTTAAAAGGAAAATCTAAGAACATTTCTGAAATTTCAAGGCAGTAAATTGCATTCACTATAGATTTAATTTTAATCTTGAAAGAAAATACTTGCATTTCTATGATGCCATATCATGGTAAAACTCCTCAATATGCATCATAGTTATTACTGTCCCGTTTAGTAACTCTTTATACTCAAATGTAGTTGCCAAGCAGATGGACTTCCCAACAGCCATGAGGCAAATGACCATTAATCTGGAAGATTGTTGGCTAGGAAACTGGCCAACTAAAACTTGTTTTTTTTGAATAGTGTCATCGCAGTGTTAACATCCACCTGAGAAGCAAGCAGGGAGGACCTCGGGTTTAGCATCTCATCTAAAGGAAGGCACCTTTGACAGTGCAGTGTTACCCTAGTACTGCGCTGGAAGGTCAGACTGTTTTATGATCTCAAGTCCTGGCGTTGGGGCTTCAATCTTCACTGACCTAGAAGTGAGAGCACTGCCAGTAGAACCAAACTGGAGGGGGGTTGGTAAGAACTTGGATGTGAAGCACTGCGTGCAGTTTAAATGTAAGAGTTTGAGTTATTTAACTTGTCTTGTTTCAGATGAGAAATCTAAGCAGTCCTGCATGTGTTGATCCAGAGGAGAGGGAGCCCCGGAAGTTCACCTCTTTATCTGTGAGCCGCTCGCCAGCCTGTGCGTTGGAGCGTGTGGTCTGCCCACTGGACCTGCTGCACGGCTGCCCAGCATCAAATGGCAAAATTGAAACACTAAGCGAAAGCGAGGAGGAGGAGGAGGACAGAAAGGGGTTCAGCAGCACCACAGAGGAGAGCCCATTCCAGAGGAACTGCGAGGATCTGGATTTGGAGATGATTGAGGAAAATTGAATGGTTTCAGTTGAGTAATTATTGGAGACTTATGTTTTTTTACCTTTCAGATTACGCCTTAAAATGCATCCCATGTGCAGAGATTGCAAGGGGTATGTGGACGCTTTACATTACTTCCCAGGTTCACGATTATTGAGAGCTGTGAAGACGAGCAATGTAATGACTTTGTGCTGCTCCTTTCTTCTGCTCACACCACATGAATCGTCCACTTGCTGAAGCTTAAGCCCATCCAATGAAGCTGTCATAACGCTCTCCACCAACATCCAGGGACAGGTTAGGACAATACTGAACGGCATTCTCGCTGTGAAATTGTGGAAAGGTTTGATGGGAAGGAGCAAAGGGACCCTCAGTTTGCAAGAAACACTGAATCCATGTCTTCAGCTTTCACATTGTCAACATGACTATGTAGTTGATTTCCAGACTCCTTTCTCTTCACCTCTATGATGGACATCCGGGGGCGGCGTCTGAGTGGGATTCGGGCTTGATTCATCTTTCAAAGAATCAGGGCTCTTAAGTGAGTTTACAAAGGGAAGTAGTTCAGTTGGCTTTTGTTTCAAGGGAGTTGTAGTTTATTCAATTTGCTTGAGACAATCGACTGGGATAAACTACAACTCCCAGAATGGCCTCCACACTCCAGCCTGGATCTCTGAGCTGTGGAAGTAGGATGGAAACCAGGTTGTGGTGTGTTCAGTCTGGTGACAGCAGATGCTCTTACATACTCGTGGTCTGGAGGGTGTATCATGACGCTGTCATTTCCTTGTGCGCACTGTCCTTGCAGAGACTCTATGCTTGTATTTTAGGCCGTGCATCAAATCTATGAATTTCAGATTAAAGACTCATAACTTCCTCCTGATTTTACTTGCCCATCCCCCTCCTCCTTTCTGTCCTCCTCAACAGGCTTCCAATGTTTCTAATAAAATTTAATCAAAGATTGTGATAATATAAAGAAACTGGCTCTTTATTCACTGCCTTATAAATAAAGACAACGTTTTGGATAAAAGGCAAACTACTGCAGATGCTGGAAAACTTTTTGGATAGTTTGATTGCAATTTTAAAAAAAAGCAACTCAAGAGTGGAAGTGATCAAATTATCATTGTGGCTAAAAGCTTCTTTGAAGGGATTTTCCAACCTTTACCAATTGTGGTTATATGTTTGTGTCTTGTGTGTGAGCTTTTGCTCAACATCCCTAACTCTCTCTTCTCCAGCATTATGCTTCCTGCCATAAGTGTGAAACCCTTTGAGACATTCATTTGATGTGAATGTGTGTATATTTAAATATGTAGAATATATAAATGTGTGTATATTTATATATTCTCTGAATTTACTCCAATCTCATTTGTGGTTCTCAATCCTTTGTTCTGCCTTCTTGTTTTATAGTTTCATCTGATCTGATCCTGTCACCCATTCCAAGTTATCCATTAGTCTATATAATATATATAAACCTTATAAACACTTTGATTGGATCCCAGTAACTCACTCCCAAGTATCCATTTGTCTCCATACAGTTTGAGTTTATTCTTCCTTTTCAACCTTCTATGGGTGATAGCAGCTACTGGGTGCGTGAGGTACTTTAGTTTTGAGATGCATCGCAGGTTTGTGCTATCGAAACACAGAGCCACGTCAGGGTAAGGATTGTTGCTTTTTTAGAAAGCGTGAAAATACAATGGTTTTCTCTCTGAATCAGCTAATCCCTGAATAACCACACTCCTCACCAGATCTCAGAAATACATTCTCTGGAGCATTAGTGTTTTAACTATCACATTGGTATCCTGTGAAATTAACACAGATTAACAATGAGGACCTGGAAGGGGCAGGGAGGTGAAAATGAGCATTTTTTCTGAAAAAAATAATTCAGTCACTCACTCCACGACTGTTTGTGGGAAACTGCTGTGTGCAATTAGCTGCTGAGGTTCGACCACAAAATACACAGTCGATCCATTTTACAGTATATTCTGTGAAGGCTTTTGAGACATCTCAACAACATGAAAGACGCTATATCAAATTCAAGGATTATTATAGTTATTAGTTAACAGTTGTCTTGTTCTTTGTGTTTGATATCAGGTCTGACAGATTATTGCTGCTAAATTACAGCATTGTCACATCATTGCTATCTAGCTTGTGCTGTTTGCCAAGGCGTCTCTCACTGGATGGCTTTGGATGACCAGAGCCTCCTGGATAGTTCCTTTTGCACGGCAGATGTTGCTGCTCATTGCTCCCCTCTCGGCAAGAACAAAATTAAATAGGGTATTATTACAGCTGGCTTCAGAGGCAGATTCTCCCCTGGGTACCATGTGTTTATACAGTCTTCTAAAGCAGCACCACAGGAAACAGAAATTTCAATCTATTTTGCACTGCTTTTCCATTTTGTTACATGAATTTCATCTCCCCCCACCCCCCCTCAAAAAAAATAAAAACTACCATTTAGACAGCCTGGATGTGAAGGGTTTGTTTGGTTGTGCATCTGCATAAGTTTTTCAGCTATTTTAGTCTCATTCTAACTTTACATTAAAGTGGAAATTTCCTGAGGGCTTCAACCAACTTTTTTAAGCCATCGTCTTCTGTTTTTGTACAAAATGCATTGCTGCTGTGGTATCTTTCTACACACTGACGAGTAGAATTTTACAGCACAGAAGGAGGCTCTCTGAAGTAGCCACAGACCAGGGAGCTATACTGAGATTGCTGCTGCATTGCCTCTCAATAGGATTTAGGGCAGCAGGATCGAATGGGCAGTGGGAGATGGTAAGGAGAGGAGTAGGGACCAGTGTACCGAACCAATGTGTTTGCCTGCAGATGTCACTTGAGCAATGAGCTGGGTTTCCCCATGTGTCAGGCAGCCAGGAAGATAGGATTGGACTCTGCTGGTGATGCCTCCATTCCTGCTTTCCTCCTTCTCCCCCCCCACACACACAACAATCAATTTTGACATACGCCATCCAGGGTCACACTCAAAGACTAGATGGGACCACTCCCCCATCCAATGTGGCCCAGCTTCCAAGAAACGGGAAATCAGCAACAAAACGAGGGAATAGAACAAAATCTTTCAGCTTGGTTGACATATGCTACCGTGGTTATAAAATAGCAGAAGCGAACTGGGGGAGGTTGAAGCATTGAGGTCTTGCCCTGGTGAGGGTTTGCTTAATATTTGATTATCTGTGTGAACTTGTCTTAAGTGGAGTCCTGTAGCTCAGTGGTTAGAGCACTGGCTTTGCAAGTGAGAGACCTGAGTTCAATTCCAGGCAGAGGGCGAAACCTTGGGCAAGTTTCCTTACTCCACACAGAGCCTAATAATAATCCCTCCAAAAAAAAAAACAATAATTAAATTGGTCATTTTCAATCTACGACTGTTTGTGGGACATTGCTGTGCGCAATTGGCTGCCGCGTTCGCCCACAAATATATACAGTCAATTCACTTTACAGTGTGTTCTGTGAAGCGCTTTGGGACGTCCTCCCGACGTGAAAAGCGCTATACCAAATGCAAGGATTATTATTATTATTATTATTATTATTAAGTGACGGGGTGGTTTGCTAACATTCTGCTATTTTTGACACACCTACTAGGTGTTGGCCTGTAAACCCCCTATCATAGAATCATAGAATTATACAGCACAGAAGTAGACCATTTGGTCTATCGTGCCTGTACTGGCTCTTTGAAAAGAGCTATCCAAATCAATCCCACTCCATGCGCTCTCCCCTTAGCCCTGCAAACTTGTCCTCCCCAAATCATGTGGGTCTGCTTCTCTATCCAATTCTATTGCTTGTTATCAGTCAGTAGTTTCTGATCTGCTCAGTTCCCTCAATTTAATGAGTTGTTTAAATGCTACTAGTACAAGATAGTCATTATCCTACCTCTCATCCCTGTGTCCCCTGGACCAAGTAGTCACCCTTTCAGACTTGCTATGTCCTAAGCAGTCTGCAACCTACAATGTAGAGTAATTGCTGCTTTATATATGTTTTGAACATTTACTTTGAAGCTGAAATATTGCCAGCCTCCAGGAATGTGCTCTGTGTTTGCCAATATCGTTTTGTAATCAATCATCCGCTAGTTTGGCATTACCAAAAGATACAAGGTACATGCAGCTCTGAACCTGCACAAGTTGCCAGGGGCAAAAGATGCTGTCCAGTTGCCCGTGTCTGGAATGGAATGTGCACTCTCCCCCTGGAGAGACGCAGCTTGCTAACCTAATTACAGACAGTGTTAAGCACAGGTTGACAGGAGCCAATACTTGGGTTCCTGCTGGTGTTCAATCAGCTAAACCCGCATGGCTTGCCATTGAGTGCACTGTTTGGCAAGGTTCCTACTACCCGTCCTGCTAGAAACACCATACCCATTTGATCTTGGGTTTGCAGATTAATGAGCTGGGTGGGGAGAACCCCTGCCCCAGTGACTGGTCAGCCCTTCAAATCATAATAACATAAGAAATAGGAGCAGGAGTAGGCCATTTGGCCCCTCGAGCCTGCTCCGCCATTTAATAAGATCATGGCTGATTGTTTAGCTTAATTCCATTTACTGCTAATTCCATTTACTGCCAATCCTGCCAATGAGCCAGCTGGCTGGTCTGTCATCAACCGTGTCCTGGAGTAGTGTGGACCCATCTTTCTGAGGAAGCAGATTACCAAGACCACCATAGAGGGTTGACTCAATTTTCAATATTCTGCTGCCAAGCACGTGACCTTGAAGTTAACTCAGCTCCAGACCCTGCTTGCCTCAAGGAAGAGAGAAGAAATTCTCTGTCAGTTCCAACCTGGTTTGCCTCTATTTTAAGGTTGTGTCCCCTTGTGACTGATGGACCCAACAGGAGAAAGTAGTTCTGGTGCCTCAATTGCAGGAAAGATACTTCACAGTCACGTGGAGCATTGTGAAAAAAACTTGAGTTTATGGATCACTATAACTTCTCAGCGCTTCCCGTTTACACTGAAATTTGCAGAGCTTACCTTTCTTGAAGCCATAAGAGTATTTTACAGCACAGAATAAAGCTGTTTGCCTTATCCTGTTTAAAGCCAGCTTTCTAAAAGAGCTTTCCATTTAGTCCCACTCCTCTACCTTTTGCCAACAAAACAGTCACTGCAGTTTACAGCATACCCCGTGAAATGCTTTAGAACATCCTCCAAATGTGAAAGGTATTATTCCAAATGCAAGGATTATTATTATTAATATCCTTTTAGATTCTCCTTTTTCAAATACATACGAGCTCCTGGCCAACAATCCTCCAGATTCTGTCCTTTAAAAGAGCCAGCACAGACACGATGGTTGCCTTCAAAGCTGTAAATTCTTTGATTCAATTGATTATTCATAGCTGTATGTGGAATCTTGCTATACATACAGTCACTACACTTCATAGCAATTACCTGTGAAGTTCTTTGAGACAATTCAGGATTATAAGCAACAACAAAAGCAACAACAAATTACATTTGTAAAGCGCCTTTCACATCGGGAGGACGTCTCAAAGTGCTGGACAGAGTTTTGGACCAAATCTGGGGGTTGGGGTCAGGGAGGGTGGAGGGCAAGGGGGGGAATCAGGGAGATTGAAAGCATGGTCGAAGAGGAGGGTCTTGAAGGAGGCAAGAGAGGGGGTGAGGTGGAGAGTCTGCGGGATGGAGTTCCAGAGGGTGGGGACAGAGAGGCAGAAAGCCCACCCACCAATAGTGGGGCGAGCGAGGCAGTGGACGTGAAGCAGACCTGCGCCCGCTGAGTGGAGGGAGTGGGCAGGATGGTAGGGGATTAGGAGATCACAGAGGTAGGAGGGAGCAAGACCATGGAGGGCTTTGAATGTGAGGACCAGAATCTTGAACTGTATCCCCTATGTGATGGGAAGCCAGTGGAGTCGGGCGAGGTTGGGGGTGATAGGGTTGTGGAGCCTAATGCGGGATAGGACACGGGCTGCAAAGTACTATATCAAATGCAAAGATAATTATTAATTCCTTTTTAAAACCTTGACTTCAACTACTCAACCAGTCTAAACCTGTGATGGGGACAATTAGCGAGAAGGTTTATGGGAATTTCCAGCAGGT